CCCCGGTGTTTGCCATCGGGGTTGGATTTTCGTCGCTTGGCAACGACGTCGTAAAACAAGCCAATTCACCTCGTGAGCTCGGCAACCAGGTTACCGTTTTTTTTTCACCTCTTTTTTTGGCGGTAACCATTATGGTGGTCGAGTAGATCATTTTGTGCGGGGTGGAGAAGCCTCACTCCGCGCAAGGGGGATGATCGCACCACGTTGTGTTAAAATGGTCAAGCACCCTCGAGGCAGTTACACAGTGCTTACAATTGTCTCTGGAAGTGAAAGCACCAGAAAATAAATTGAGTCATACGCAGCTGTCATCCGTACGCAAAGAAGTAAGCACATGATGCCGAACACCCTTAGCAGGATGCAGCGCACCCTTCATGCGACTCGCCGAATACCTCACGGCGCTTCGCGCTTGGTGATGTGAGAGCCTGGTCCGGTGAGAACCCGGCGTGCTCCGTCCCGGTTTTGTAGGAATGCGAGGTCAATGATCTAACGACGACGGCATGCACGACTATGAGTACACCCCCCATCTCCCGTATTGATAATGACACGGGTTCGTCGGTCTTTCTGTGGTGTCCCCATAGGTTCTGAAAAAGGATCACCTGCTCTGTGATGATGCCGATAATTGCGACTACACCAAGGGGGGGTATTTCACTACTCAGCGTGCGAGGTGAGTGTTACACGAAGTCTCACACCAATCAGCGACCTGGCCATGATGCTTTCGAGACGAGATGACGAGGTCCTAGTGTAAGCGTGCGTGTCTCGAGGGTCCCTACATGCACGAGAATCATCTTCGTAACGCACGCTGAACAACAAAGTCTTGCTGCAATCGGTTTCCGCATTCTGCTTTGCAGGGACATAATCTTTGAAGGGTACACGGACTCCCTCACCGTCAAGCTCATGAACAAAAGGCTGTCGGGGAGGAACTTGACTATCAAGTGTTCCGTGCCAAGCGTGGTTCTATGGGACATGTACTGCCACCCGCTATTCGATGGTGACTGCACCAACACTGGGTTCGAGGTGCCTGGATACTTTCTTTTGTGACTATTTGGTGGTATGAGCCACCCCAGTAGTGAACTCATTGTCGATACTACTGACTATGCCAATTATTCGCTTGCACCACAAGCGCTGCAATCCATCGGGATGGAACTATTTAGCTTATTTCCGTAGGAAACGTGGCAGAACAATCAAACGATCCGGGCAGCTTCATCCCGCTACCAAGGGCAGGCAAGAGTTTCTCCGTTGGCGTTTACGTAAAAAATGGGGGCTAGAAACCCCGTTTAGCCTAGGCCATTGCACCAAGCCCAGATCAAAATCCTGTTATATTGGAGTGCCGACTGCAGGTTGAGAATGCTACGTGCTCGGTCAGCGATGTATCTGTATTGAGAACCAAAGGGCTCCGCAAGAGGCCCATATGGAGATCTCTCGTTCGTTCAACTTGCTGCAAACCCCAGAACACACATTGGGCAATGATTTCAGTGACTCACTCTTGCAACGATGCCGGTCTAGGTGGTGCACGACACGTACGGCACGGTACTTGAGGTCAACAAGACAGGCTCGAGTAGACACCTGTGGTATAGCGCCGAACTCTCCTTGCCGCACGATTTGGGCAGCATCGACAACCCAATCTTTGCTGTGTATCCTGGCGGACACTGGGACAACGAAACTTTTCAAAAGACTATGGTGAGAACAATCTGTTTGACGCTCTTTTTACAGATGTACGCGTTCATGCCATGATTGACGGGAGATGCACCGCACATTCCCCCCTCCCCTGTTACTCTCAAGTGCCCCACAAGAATCTGTTGCCCGTGTACTACTCTCCTGGAAATGCTTCTGTTTGACCAACGGAATATTCCAGGATTGCGAGAAACGGGTACTGCAAGGCGAAGCAGGCCTGTGGAATAGCTGTGACACGACGGTGAGCTCCCTGATAGACGAAGCAGAGGTCGTTGAAACCCGTATATTTGGTGAAAAAGTGGCCTTCAATATCCTACAAACCATTGTTGTGCACCAGGTTCCGCTCGTTCTGGTAACCTCGACCGAGCCCGTTGATGAAAAGTGAAGGAGCATTACCGCTAACTCGAAGGTTTCACATGGTCATTCAAGGACCAACGGACAGCATCGATCATGCTGCGTGTTGCCCACACGATAGGTTGAAACGGGCAGCGACGACCCACAGAGGATCGGGAGAACAAACCTCTACTATGGAAACGATTCACTGCTCGCTGCCGTTGGGTTAGACTCGTCGCTGGAGGTGTACGGAACAGATGGCACTCAAGATACACCGCGAAAATGGGAAGGGTTTGGCGAATACAAACTAGTTTACAGACTACGGAACGAAGGCCTCGACTATCTTGGGAACGACACAGTGGTAAGAAACTACACACGCACCGACTCGCGAATGTCTGATTCGATGAGGATTGCGAGATCTCGGCATTAAATCAGCAGCGCAGGTACCCGTTGTGTTGAGCTCCCTACCTATCCTTCTAGACGTCTAGATTGACATGGCTTGGCGCAAAAGTTTTGACTAAGCTGATCAGCCATTGTCGGCCGTGCACGTGAAACGGATGCAGGTTGTGCTTCAAGGCGAGCACCTCCTCCAGTTTCACATGGCAAGGGACAGTACCGATGCGGTCCTCCAGTACCCGACACGCTACCTTGCGGAGGACAACTTCACACTGGAAACTGATATTCGTCTCAACCGCTACATCGCGCAAACACAAGTGAGCGTAGCTGTATGTGAAGTTTGTTCGGAGGTGTGCCCAGTACAGACATGCTACATGTGAGTGTTTGGGGCCTCGGCAGTGTCGGGAAAGAAGGTATTCAGACTGATGCGGGTACCAGGCAAGAGGTGGAAGAGGGAGGAATCAACGCCGCAGCCACAACAACCTCAGCAACCGCTGGCCATCAAAATAGCGGGACAGAAGACGCCCAAACCGCTGAAATTCGAAATTTAGGCGGTTGGGTGAACGACGATGACGAGCTGGTGCAACAGATCAGCGGCAGGAGCAGCGTGGGCGCATCACGATGTCCTCCCGGGAGCTTTTCGACCGGCAGAGTGCACCGTTGAGACTCACGGCCCGACTGCTGCTTGTGGGAGCCTGGTTCAGACAATGTGACGCACGCCTCCCGAATGACTGATGTTTGGGAAACTCGTGGCGGGGGAGATCTTCGAAAATTCGTGTTCGTTTTGTATTGCTTGGTCCCTGTCGAGCCGGAGCGAGAGGACTGTCTATCTTTGTCGGGCATATCGCCAGCGACTTCTAACATCCTGTGGCACTATGTCGAGATACAGTTTTTTTACCGAATTTCTTGATATTCTACTTTTTGCTTTTGTCCCTCTTCGGCTATTGCTATGTGCACCTCTTATTGATACTGTCACCGGAGCGTCTGCGCCGATCCGGCCAGTACGGATGTGTTGAAGGTACTGAGGACAGGTCGGACCAGTTTCTAAATATGAAGACAACACCAACAACCACAAGCATGGGTAGGGTAAAGCAACTACCACCGCTCTTTGGTACGCGACATTTGCCTGCCGTGTACCACAGGACTGGCTGGATGCTCGTGAGAGGGTTGGGGAGGACCAGTTGACAGACTTCAATGGCATGCCCTACTCAGTACCAATGGGCATGGTCAGCACTCAGGTGCGAATGCCGGTTGGTCGAAATCAAACAATGAGCCCGTGGCAATCGTAGTCTACATCTTGTTCGCGGACCGCTCATCAACGCGATTCATGATGCTCCAGCGCAGTATGATCCACCTATACTGCGTCTGCCTCTATTTCAGGTACTAACAGGCTATGCCACGTTCGTCAGCGATCCACACTTTCTTACAAACGACGTTCTGGACCAACAGGCAGCAGAACAGGTGAATGTTATTGTTGTTGGCACTCAACGTCCACACCGCGCAACACGCTTTCAATTGATCGCGTAAGTAGTCGAAGTTTGCGCCAAATAGAGAAGGCTACAGAGTGGTGTTGTCTCCCACGCAAGCGTTTTAGTATCTGTTATTGGCATAGTCTAGCCCCGTCGAAGCGGTTCAAAACAAAGTGTCCAAAGTCGTCCGTCCATGCATGTCGCACCAGATGAACTATATCGAACCGGACGATACGCACCATCAGAGCCTTGTCGACGTCGAACCAGTAACCGGCAAGGTGCTCCGAAGGGCCATAAGACTGCAGGTATGGAGCCCCAACGCTTTACGTATTATTACTACAGTATTTCCACCCTGACCCTCACCTTGATTTTGGCTACCAGCTTGAAACGACTGCAAGGCACTCTGTGGTGTATCAAAGCGACGCGAAGGGCACGCTGTGCACAATACTCACACGTAGGAACGCTTTATTGTAGCAACCAAACCTATTGCAGCAACCGGACGTACTGCGATTCATTACACCGTCACACCTGACTCGCTCGTCGTATTTGTGTGTGTGTGTGTTTGTCATTAGCATCGACCGCGCACACCAACGAAAAGATGTCAGTCTTAGTGCGACTGAAAACAGAAAATGCTTCGAACGGCCATGTTTTGGGGCCCCATGAGGGGGTGTCATAGGGGAGGCTACCCTCGGGGTTAAAGACAGAAACGATGGCAGCAAGTGTGTGTGCTTGTATTTTCTATTCGGTCGGAGCATGAGCAGTGGTGTCAATTCCCGTTGTCCTGCTCCCATCATCCAGACCCCCTTATGTCTTTCTTGCCCCCTCGTCACACTTATCTCAGCTTCTCTTTCGTATCGAACGAAGCTCCTTTAGCCCAGATCTACTTTCTAGTGAGTCGAGTTCTACCGTGTGCCGGTCCCCGACCAAGGACATCATGGTCGACGGCGCGGGATGCTTCATGTGCGTTCCAATGCCAATGTATTCGGTGCAACGCGTCACGTCACTGTTTAGTTGTTTCGACAACGGTAGAGTCGAAACAGGAAGTGGTCAACACACCCCTGATTATGCAGGGCAACGTTGTGCATAATTTCATATCAGACGGGTCACATTCACTGGTATTCTTGCCAACTATTTCTCAACCTGTTGCTCCACACGCCGTCGTGAACCATTTGACATTTATCGTTTGATTAACTCCAACATCGTGCAATGCATCTTCAATATCGCAGGTATGTCCCAATCCTGTGGTACGATGATCAGCGCGTTATGGATGAGAAATCTGCCGTAACTCTCCACCAAGAGTTCTTGATGTTCGCAGATTTTGCACTAGAGACTGCGTGGAAAGGCTTAATTGCATCCGCGACGTTGGCCGTGTTTGGGTCGATCTTGTGGATAATTTTTGTCGTCTTGAAGGCCAGGCACGATAGACGAGTGTGGGTCGATTGATAGGCAAGCAGACAGACAGGTGGACACCTTCGGGTGCCATGGACGTGGGCTTTCGTCCCAATTATTCTGGGCACCTGTCTACGCCTTTCGGTGTATGTTTCACACACCAGCCGGGGTCAGATGTAAGGATAGTAAACTAGTTTAGCATAGACGTTTTTTCCGTATAGGAACCTGGTCACTTTGGACGTGCAGCATGGAAAGCCTCTAAGAAATATAGTACTCCGAACCACAGCCTTGAATTGACTTACACCACCACTCGTCTGCGGCAGTTTTATCGAGGGTCAAGCGGGTACCTTCTCTTTGCTTTCCTCTCCGTATATACCGTGAGGTTCTATTGCAAGCCATCAACGACATCTTAGTGGGGGTGGTGGGTGATAATCTTCAGTGCAATGTGTACCAAGTTTCCGGCTTCATACAGTACACAACGTAAATCCCCTTCGATCTCCGGAGAGGCTCAAGCAGTGCCAGATGTTCGATCAGCCTAACTCTCCAGCGACAACAGCATAGCAGCGCCGTGAAGAATAAACTGTCGAACCGGCATATTGGTGGGGAGTTCAACGGCTACCACAAAGTTGGTGGATATGCCGGTGGTAGAAAGCTCTCCTCTCCGTGCCGATGTCTTGTACGTCGGGCAGATGTAGTCCGCTGCAATCGAGTAGAACGAAGGGTCACAGCATTCGTTAGCTCTTCAGGTCTCGGGTGTTGACCCCTCGACCCGAGCCTTGTTGCTACCCGGCTCGAGCTTGTGGTTAAAGCGATCCATATTTGTTCTCGTTTCGATCATGCGTTTTACCGACCGCGCTGCCTGCTTCATCTCTAGACTATCGCTCCGTCCGTCCTGGTCCCAAGGGTGGATGGCAAGCAACGCAAGCCGTGTACGACAGAACTGGATCCGACCACACCAAAGGGAGTCTGTCCGGCGTGGTACTGGCTCTGCCCTTCTGCTGTCCAAGTCAAATCAAGCTACACTGAACCAAACAGCGTGTGTCACTGAGCTGCTCACCGGGATTGGGCTCGTGGTTGGTTTCGGGTAAAAAATGCACAACTGGCGCTGGTGCCCGCATCTGGTCTGGCCTTGGATCGCATAGTCGCTTCGTTGTGTGGTCCCACGAAGCGCCTTCTATGTGCATGCCGTATACGAACACACCATCAGAAGGGTGGTTCTTGGCCTCCTGCGAAGAACAATATTATGGGTGACAGGGAAAGAAACAGGGAGTGTGGAATTGAGTAAGAGAAATAACGCTTAAGGAGGCACGAACAGCACAGGCATAGCGTAGCTCATATCATCCAAAACGTGGAACTAAGCTCGTCCAAACAGTTTCACCCCCGAAGAGGCAGGCCTCAAGTCGCCAAACCGCAGCAAACACCCCAACAACGACATCGATCACTACCTCTGGTTGCATAATGTCGGGAATGTCGTGCTTGAAGCCAAGAAGGTTCACCGGCACCGCGTGCTTTCGCGCATGGTTTTGTAGTACCGCGGTCAAGAAACCCTGAGACGCGCGCGATCAAAGACGATAAGGGTTAAGACCATCCCGGCATATGAGAGATGAAGAATCCCAAAATCGAGTAGGGAGGCGCTCGTTCCATTACAAGCTCACCTGTGGGAAAAAGAATGCCGGCAGGGAGAACGCATAGGGATTTCCACGTTCAAGCCAAAGCTCGAAAAATCTCACACGCCATCGCAAGTCTTTCATCCACGACCCCAGAGGTTTGAGGCTCGCAAACCCTCGCCGACGCCATTCGGCCGGGACTTGATTGACCAGGAATTGGCTATACACCTGCAACGTTACAGGTCCCAACACCGGGCAACATGAAAGAATACGGCAATCAGGAATAGCTTTCTGCTTTTGGAGAGGACCAATCACGTACTTGTTCAGATCAACGTGGAACGCTGCCGAGATATGGTGAGGTCCAACTCTCAGTTTCCATTTCGACATTGGATGAACATGGCATCGCGACACTTTTTCCGACAAGTTGTCTCTATTAGTCACACTAGGTCTCACCATGTCAAGCTCGGAGCTCATGACTATCTCCCCTTTGACAGCTAAGACGAGCTGTTCCACGGTTGTGCGAACGATCTGACAGTAAGACGGACGGTCAGGAGAGAACGAGACATGAGTCACGCACGAAGGTAAACACGAACGATTCAACATTTTGCGCAACGATCGGTGAAGAAGCAACTCAAGAAGGCGATGAGGGCTCCGCTAGGTACGTATTTCAACGACCCAAGCTGCCATTTTCACTGTACCCATGTGACTGCCTAACAACGCCTTACCTCGAGCAAGGAGTTGCAGTTGTCGAGCTCTTGAATCAACACTGTCACCAAGCTATCAGTGCTCGATGCTCCAGGTTCTACGCTTGATCCCCGTCTTGTAAGATGGTTCACAGCCCCCTCCTTTGCCACGTGATGCACAGATCACGAAGCGGGTTCAAGGCGAATTGGGAGGGACGGCGTTTGTACGACCTGAAGCAGCTACAGATTTGATCAATAGAGAGAGGGAAGGGGAGGGCCCGCTACCAATGGACGTATTGGTGGCAGCGTGAGAAAGGCATTGCGGATGGCTGACTTGGACGAAAACAGCATCTGGGTCCACCACATCCGTAAAATATTTGAGGGCGCCAGCCGCGGCATCGGCACGCCCAATTGGAGCTAAGACGCTCTAGATAGTGATTTGGACTTCAGGCCGTTCAATGCGATGAATGACAAGCAATCACGTGATTTTGGACGATATTTTTCATAATGTAAAGCTGGAGCTGTTGATAATCCTGGGTATCTTCGGGGAGCGGACCATTTCGATCCATCTAAGGCATTTGTACCAAATCTAAAGAAAGGCAAATATTCAAGAATCATCAAACAGGCTCCGCCAACTTAGCCTTCGTACTCCGGGACAAGCTGGAAGGTTGAATCCGCTAGAAAACTCAAACGATTGCCATCCATGACCGGTCTGGCGGTGAAGTCGAGTGGTGACAGACTACAGTAGTGCTGAACACATCTGTGAAACGCTGAGGATTCTGGGTGCTGCAAGAGTTTGATCCACCCGGGTATGAACAGCCGACAAACCGTGACCGACCTTGCGATGTGTCAAGCCTCCCGGTATTCTTGCCATCAGCTCGTGCGTCACTGCCAAAACGACATCGTCGGGGCGTTGCCCCGCCGAGGAGTTCGAATCCCTCGGTTGAAGCGCAAGAATCGCGTCCAAAAGCGCCTTGCTCTCCTTGAGGCGAAGAGAAATATCCGCCTGGAAGGGCAACGAAGCCGAAAGGTTGCTGTGAGAGTCGCCTTGCCTACTTCGTCGTTCGACATTTCGAGCGCGATATGGTGAAGTCCGCTTTTCGCTGCAGCCTTTCTGGTAAGCGGACGCATGTTAAAGTCAAACTGGTTGCACTTGTTGAGGTTAGATATCCTCTTAAGCGGCATACATTTGACATAAACCCTTCTGAAGAACTGTACATACCGAAGCGTGCATCCCGAACATCTGCGGACCATCCTCAGGAGGTATGTGTTCAATGTAGGCCAGGTAACTCTCGGCTGGGGCATCGACAGGCGCTGCGGCAATCATGGCAGATGATGCTGACAAACGACGGACCAGACGTGCTTTGGCCTTCGAAGGCCCCGCTCCATTTTCCATGCTCCCCCTCAGCTCGGGGTTCGAACTCACTCCACCGTACATGTGGGCCTATTGGCATCGAAACGAAAAACATGAATTACTATTTGCTTCCTTGCCGAGAGGACGAACCTAATCTGTCCTGCTCGAGTTCTTCCACCGGGACGACACAGAGAGTACGCGCAAGACGCCACTACGAGGTAAGTAGTTCGCTCGGCGATCGATTCACTCACCGCATCCCCAAAAATGCTTGCAGAATAAAAGTGGTCTAGAATCGCCAGAAGGCACCGCCGATCCCACTCGTCGGTCACCCAGCCACCGTAGGTGATGTTTCCTGTGACGTACACCAGGCTTTCTACCGGCAGAGACGCCAGAGTCGCCGTTGATGTATCTATGTGGAGGTCGTCCACAAACCGGCCTAAGAGCTTGAACGCTGCGTCAAGGTCGGAATCTCCAAAGCTGTATGTGACATTCCAGCCGAGGGGGCCGAACTTAATCCTAACACCCGGGCGAAGTGAAACGGTTGCGGAAAATAAAGTAGGGCAATGGGTCAATGAGTCGGCACAGACAATAACCCTTTGCGAACCACTGTGGTCAGAGGTGTTGCAAAAACTGCATGGTTGGTGGGTAGGTAGTACATACAGGCCGAGCCTACGTTCGAGCTATGTAGCATCGAGGAGGGAAACTATGCAGAACGAATCGATTCAACTTGGGATGGTGAGCCATCTCGAGAATTCCCAAGACCTGTCCTCACCTTTCCTGGATCACGGCGTGGAAGAAGCACAGCCCAAACAAAAGGCGTTTCCACTCTGGCGGCCGCTGAACTCCCTCCTCTTTCTCTCTCTGCAAGATACCCGACATCTTTTCCATGACAGCGAGAACGCGGGGAAGGCGGATCAGACCGTTTATCAATTCGCCACGTAGGAAACCGAAAAAAAAGGCGGGGTATCCAGACACCAAAACATGTATCCACCTTCAGAACATCTTGGCCTAGGACATCACCAAACATCTCCAGTCCCGATCCACACTGGGTGTCTATCCATGCAGAGAAAAAAACAGGACGTCCTTTCCGTCGTATGGCAGGTGACACTACCTGCATATTGTAAGTCCGCCGTAGGTTTGCTTGAATGCCCCGTGGCGGTTCGTCTGTGATCTTGACACACCGCTGTAGAACTCCAGCAGGGAAATATGGCACTGGAGCTGCACTCAAAAACAACCTAAAGCCGGGCTTGGAGTGACTTGAGCTGCTTCCCAGACTCTTTACTATACCATCAAGGGTGGGCAGCCACGAGCATGCTAGGTGGCAGTTCTGCAGCATAACCCAGCTACCGCTCGCTCTGGCAACCTGTATCAGCACGAAACGTGAGAAAGAGTTATGAGGGCGGACCAACGTTCAATGGTCACGACGCATGTCTCACGATATTCTCAAGTTCCGGCCTGCATTCTGGCTCACCAACACA